TAGCACCGTGGGACCTGCTGCTGTTTGTTGGCCTGAACATTTGTCCAAGAGAGGGGACTGAGGACTAAGCTCTGATTTTTTTTTTTTTCTTAATCCTCCCCAAATTCCTATCTGAGGGGTCTGGAGAGTCATGCCCTGCAAACCACAAATTCTCATCAGATGGGTTTTATTTATTTTACTGTGACTTACTTTCCAATCTGATTCTGGCATAACATGTGACAAATAAGAAAGTCAAAATATCTTACCTCGAAACATGTTTCTTTGCCATATCTTGAAACGGCCCTGAAAAGCTGTCCTTTGTGGGGGAAAATCTGCATTTGTAAAGAATCTCTATTAACATAGCTAGATCTTTTTCTTCCAGGCCCTTCTAATCCTAAAGAGATTAACCAAGAGACTACCACCTTTAAAAATCGGAATAGGAAACATTTGTCATCTATTGTCTCTAAGGGCAGCCACTGTAAGATTTTAAAAGAATCTTGGTCTCCACAATGTTTTATCTTAACATGAACATTTCCTTTCTATTGATCCCAGGTCTTTAGACAAACTCGACAAATTGTCAACCAGGAAATGTTTAAATTTACCTATTGTCTGGAAGCCCCCACTTTGAACTGTCCCACCTTTCTGAACCAAACCAACGTATTTCTTAAATGCATTTGATTGGTATCTCATGCGTCTATAAAAATATATGAAACCGAGCTGCAACTTGACCACCTGGGACACATGTTCTCAGGACCGACCTCCTGAGGGCTGTGTCACAGGCCATGGTCACTCATATCTGGCTCAGAATAAACCTCTTCAAATATTTTACAGAGCTTGACTCTTTTTGTTCACAGTATAAACGCAAAACAAGTGAAGATCATGATTTGAGGCCAGTGTAAATTATATAAGAAACTCTTTTCTAATCATGAGATGAAAGAAAGCTATATCATGGATGGTTGGATATTTGCTATGCTTTTCATATACCTAACATGAGAAAGCTAAATATTTTTAGCTAAATATTTTTATATATGCTAATAATATAAGCTGGATTATCCTTGTTCAGGGTCTAACTTTCAAACTGAATTCACTTGCCCTGATGGTATCTATAGAGGCAAGACACAGTCATAATTTCTTACCCCTAATACACATAAAACGTGATATTAAAAAGCATGCCAAACATTTAATACGTTGAAAGTACTCAATTTTACGTGTGGAGTATCTGTTAGCAGTTTCTACGTGGCAAAAGCTACGTTTTTTGATACCTAGTATAGAACCTTTTCCCCAAATCGGCTCAGTCATTCTGCTTCTGAAAATACTGACAATAGAATACAATCATCTTTCCCTCCCCTAATCCAAATACAAATTTTAACATTTCATAATTGATTTCACTGAAATCGAGGAACTGGTGGGTAGAGACTAACAGAGCAAGACGGGAGTAACCATTTTGAATAAAAAAGAACATTAAATATTCTAATCAGAAATAGAATTGCCATCCTACTATGGCCGTTTTGACTGTCTCATAATGTCCTGCTTAGATTTTATTGTTTATCCCCAAATATTTACTATTATGTGGGTTTGATTTTGATGGTGAAAATATGGTATTTGAAGCAAAATAATAAAGGCAATATAATTAGTAACTGTGAATTGGACCATAATAGGAAAAGATCATAATAGCGTGAGATCACTGTATTAATATTCTGAAAATTCTGGCTATCATTATTGATGACCTACATACATAATCTCTACAATAAAAATTTCTATTAACTTCTTAGGAACAGACTCACATTTTGAATTTCTTGGTTAGAAATTTCTTAAGTGGTAATGTTTCAACAGTCTACAAATATCAAACATATTCATGGCATAGCTCTCTACTAAATCAATGATCTCTAGTGACATGGAGATAAATTTTATTCTTTTTTTATAGTTACATATCATAATGTAAACATTTTGTAAAGATCTCTTGGTGGCATGTAAAATCTAAAATACAAAGGTTAAAAAGTGGTTTGCAGGCCAGGTGCGGTGGCTCACGCCTGTCCTCCTAGTACTTTGGGAGGCTGAGGCGGGCAGATCAGGAGGTCAGGAGATTGAGACCATCCTGGCTAACAAGGTGAAACCCCGTCTCTACTAAAAACACAAAAATTAGCCGGGCGTGGTGGCGGGCGCCTGTAGTCCCAGCTACTCGGGAGGCTGAGGCAGGAGAATCAGGAGAATGGTGTGAACCCAGGAGTCAGAGTTTGCAGTGAGCTGAGATCGTACCACTGCACTCCAGCCTGGGCGATAGAAGGAGACTCCGTCTCCAAAAAAAAAGTAGTTTGCAAACCTTGCAATAAAGCTTTTACTAAAAACTAGGTAAAAACAAAATTCTCCCTCTCTCTCTCTGTTTCAGATGTTCAATAGCCATGCATGGCTAGAGGCTACTGTATTTGGATTGTGTAGATATAGGATGTTTCCGTCATTGCAGAAAGTTTTATTAGACAGTATTGCCTTCATCCCTCCATCTGCCCTTTAAAAACAGTAGATCACAGGTAATAAACTAAAGTTAACTTTTACACTTCAAAAAAGAGTTTATAAAGTCTCATTTAGAAACAAAATTTTCTCAAGTGAGATTTAGTGTAATTTACAAATTAACAAATTTAAATGCAAAGACTTTTTTTTTTTTTTTGAAACAGGATCTTACTCTGACACCCAGGCTGAATTGCAGTAACTCAATCACAGCTCACTGCAGCCTCAATCCCCCACCCTCCCCCGCCCCCTCGGCTCGAGGGATCGTCCCACCTCAGTCTCCCAAGTAGCTGAGACTACAGGTGCGCGCCATTATGTCTGGCTTTTTTTTTTTTTTTAATTGGTTTTTTGTAGAGATGGGGTTTTGCCATGTTGCCAAAACTGGTCTTGAACTCCTGAGCTCAAGCAATCTGCCCTCCTTGACCTCCCAATGTGCTGGGATTAGAGGCATGAGCAACTGCGCCAGGCCCAAAGAAGTTTCTCTACATCTCTTTTTCTTCTGTGCTCCAGGTAAGAGAAAATTTGGCATGTATTGAAAATGTAATGTCAATAACATTGTCAGCATCCAAATAAATTATTTTAAACATGCATGAAAGCAGTAAGACATTAAGCACATATTTTTCCTGCTGAGTAGTTCTTGTTCTCTTTTATTTGAAGTGTTAAGGAATAAACTTACTTTCAGAAAATTAAAACTTTTTTAGCCTACTAAGATTAGATGAAGTAATTGATTAAATTACAAAATGTATTAAATGTGATGATGGTAGTAATCTGCTTATTACACTTATTGGCCATCCCTGAATATACAAGTTCTAATGGAGGAATTGGGCTTTTCCTTACACACAAGTATTTTCATAAAATTAATTTTTACCTGTACAACCAGATAGTCCAGTTAAAACTGTCAGGGTGCAATTCTTCATGATAATTCTAGTCACCTTGTGACAACATTTGTCCTGGACTATCATTTCAATTTTTTTTTTTTTATATTTAGAAAAATATAAATTTTCTTACAGATATACTAATCTTTATTTAATAGTTGATTTTCCTTGCAAGAATGTAAACAAAAACTAAAAAGAAACGCAAAAATTGTGTTTAAGTGAATAAAAGGGGATTGTTGAAAACTCAGTTTCATATTGAAAGTATTTTTTTTTTCCAAATATTTTTATTGACATATACTTGTATATAACAGTCTTGGAAGTTAGAAACCCCTCCAGGGGAGAGGGTAGAATTGCCTGTTTCCTGATCAGCTTAATAAGAACATCTCTCTCTAGGCAAAGGGTGGGCAGGCTTGCTAGTAGTCCCCTTTCAAAGACTGGGGGTTCCTAAATTTAAGTTCTCTTAGCTGTGACCCAAACCCACTATGTGTGCAGCACTCACCTGGTCTGATCCACCTCTCCTCCTTGGGACTTGAGGGAGCAAGGGAAACTGATGTCAGTGAAGCTCACACTGCCTGCTGTGCTGTGTATGACTCCTGCCTCTAACCCAGGACTCTCTGTCATTTCGCCAGCCTCCACCAAACTGTGACAAGCTAACTTGTAGCTGCAGGCTGGGTAGAATCTCAGACCTTACATGGTTCTCGAGAAAACATGAGAAGTAAGAGCTAGTAGGTATGGCCTGAGAAGTCACAGACAACCCAACCCTGGGCGTGGGAGAGAGGCAGAGTGGGCAAAAAGGTGGGAGATGAAGGTGTGGGAGCTGTCGGAAACTGGGAACAAAACACATTTTTTATTGTAACAACTAATTGATTTCATTTTGGGCCAGTTAAATCTGAATCTCAAAGTAGAGGATGGATGAATATTTCTTCAGAATAAAATGAATACGAGCTTTATTAATCTTCATCTTGCTTTTCCCAACTGATGTCAGTTCAAAACGGACTGCGCACTAAAAATTTTCCCGGGGGGAGGCAGTGGCTCACGCCTGTAATCCTAGCACTTTGGAAGACTGAGGTGGGCAGATCACGAGGTCAGGAGTTCCAAGAGCAGCCTGGCCAACATGGTGAAACCCCGTCTCTACTAAAAACACAAAAATTAGCTGGGCATGGTGACTCACGCATGTAATTCCAGCTACTCCGGAGGCTGAAGCAGGAGAATCATTTGATCTCGGGAGGTGGAGGTTGCAGTGAGCCCAGATCATGCCCTTGCACTCCAGCCTGGGCGACAGGGCGAGACTCCTGTCTTAAATAAATAAATAAATAAATAAATAAATAAAATTCCCACTAGTCAGTGGAACTGTTCTCAATCTTAAAGCCACCCCCCACCCCGTTGTTCTTGCATTGTTTTACAATCCTAAATCAACAAATAAATCTTTTTGTCAAAACTAAATGAAAACCGACCTGTTTGTCTTACACTCTCCACACACTCTGACTTCCCACTCGGCCACACCCTCCACCAACCGTGCACGCCCCTGTCCCCAACCCCCAGAACCCCACCACTTCTATGCCCTCCACTCATTGCGTGCTAAGAAAAGCGTAGAAGAATGAGGAGACTCCCCTTCATAGAAAGTAATCAAAACAGCCAATTAAGTGAACTGTCACTTTCTGCATCTTTATTATTAAGGCGATGGAATTATATTTTGAAATTACATGGTACACTACTGAGTCCAGTCTCCAGTTATTCTGCCATACTTCCTCCTATCCTGTATTTCCGTTGATGTTGATGGTAAATTCCGTTGGTAAATTTGATCTTGGGTGGTTTGAACAGGCAGTCGGAGGGAAACTGGATTCTTAGGAAGAAGACCCCTCCCAGGTAGGAGGGGTCTTTGGGCCTCGTTTCGGTGGCCTGCCAGTGGAGCATATCGTCCCACACTGGCCCTGCTGAACAGCGGGGCTAGGAGTCGCCGGCCAGGTGGAGGAACTCCTTGTGGATGAGCTTTAGGGCCATAGTCCGCAAAACTTGGCGGGCAGTCCTCGGTACCCGGCCCGACGCATGGTAGAGGGCAGCGGTGGTGATCCCTGGCTGGGATGGGCAGCAAGGGTATGCCTCAGCTGACGAAGGGGCTGAGGGCCGGCTCTGGGGTCGGTGGGGGCGCCGGGGGAATCGGACGGTGGCGTAGAGGGGGACTGACAACGATTGGCGCCGGGCGCTCCACCACAAGCGATGATCGGCAGGATACCTGTTGCTTAGGGTGACCGAGACCACGCTTTCCAGTGTTGGAGATTCTGTGGTTTGGAGCCGCCGCTCCTCTTGCTGGGGCAGCCTGCCCCAGCGGCTAGCCCCTACTGCCCACATCGGGGCGCTGGACACCCGCGCGGATCCGCTCTGTGAGATCAGAGGCCACGGGGGCCTCTAGCCACCCCACGCCCTCTGACGCTGACTGACGCGCTGCGCAGCGTTGCCAAGGGCTGGGGCCACGGGAGCAGGGTGGGGCTGGAAAGGAAGGTGAAAGGTTGGGAGGAGGGGCGGGGCAGGACGGTCTCACTCCGTGCCTGTGCCTGGGCGGGCAAGTAGGACCCCAGGCACTGCCCTTCGCCCAGAGTGACCTCAAGAAATAGGAGCAGTTCAGTGATTGCCTCTCTGCCCATTACCCACAGTCACCTTTCCTTCACGGTTTACCTCAGAGGCCTTCTCCTCCCCTCCCTTCTCTCACCACTTGTGTATTTCCAGAGACACTCTCTTTTATAAATAACTTTAGTAGATTTACTATCAATATAATACTTTTTAAAGTAACTTTTGATAATCTTTTGGTAAATTTATTTTTTTATGAAGATTTAAGGCCTTCAAAAAATTCAATTTGAAGCTAAAACCACTTCAGTTGTTGAGGAACTCCTGACAATAAGAAGAAAGGGAGGGAGGGAAGAAAGGAAACCAGTAGTCCATGTGGCATATATAAACACTTCAGTTGTTGTTTATAAAAATGATCTTTTTTTTTTTTTTAAATAATGGTTCCAATAACAAGCATAACTGCAGAACAGAATGTCTCATTCTTGAGGCTTTCCAGTACTAATACTGATTCACATGAAACCTTCACTTACTTATATGTGGGAATGTAAAGCCAAATAAGTACCTTCAAAATAGGTTGGCCTGTCAGCCGTATCAGTTCCTTTCCGTGAATTAAGTAATAATTCAATGAGGAGTTCTTAAATTTTGGTAAGAAATTATATTATATAAACTAGATCATAGTTTCATTTATAAGATACTGGATATCCTTTAGTTATGAAAATTTCTTGCTGCAAAATTAGTTAACTAACATACCTATGCAACTAACTTGTGAAGGCAAGATAATTATTTGACAGTACTTTACAAAGATGAGAATGTAGATATAGAAGAGTGGATCTTCTAATAGTAGGTTAAAGTGTCAAACTAATTGAAAGGAACTTTCCCCAGTCTGTTGTGTTATATATTACTGCAGAAGAACAGGGTTTGTGTGCTTCTGAACAAATGAGTTATTGCTGTTACTGTAGTGAAATATCAAATTTTATTTTTGTTTATTTATTTTTCTTGTGCGACAGTTTATTCTTCCTGGGAGACCAATGAGAATAACAAGGGGTAGAGATCAATTAAAAACAGTCTCTGCAACTTCATGTGTGCTAGTATTTCATATTATATTTTTAGTGGCTTTAGTTTATATTTTTTATTTCAATAGCTTTGGTGTACAAGTGGTATTTTGTTGCGTGGAAGAATTATATACTAGTGAATTCTGAGATTTTAGTGCATCCATCACCTGAGTAATATACGTTGTACCTGATGTGTAGTTTTTTTTTTTTTATCACTGAGCCCTCTCTCATATTCCCACTTTTGAACCTTGAAAGTTTATTATATCACTCTGTATATCTTTGCATATTCATATCTTAGCTCCCACTTATGAGTGAGAACATACCGTTTTTGGTTTTCCAATCCTGTGTTACGGCACTTAGAATAGTGGTCTACAGCTCTATCCAAGTTGCTGCAAGTTGCATTATTTCATTCCTTTTAATGGCTGATAGTATTCCATGCTGTATATAGGCCACATTTTCCTTATCCACTGATTAATTGATGGGCACTTAGGATTATTCCACATCTTTGTAATTGCAAATTATGGTGGAATAAATATGCAAGTGCAGGTATCTTTTTGATGTGACTTATTTTCCTTTGAGTAGATACCCAGTAGTGTGATTGTTGGATTGAATAGATCTACTTTCAGTTCTTTAAGGAATCTCCATAATGGTTTCCATAGAGGTTGTACTAATTTACATTTCTACTAGCAGTGTTTAAGGGTTCCCTTCTCTCCACATCCATGCCAAAAACTATTGTTTTTGACTTGTTAAATAATGGCCATTCTGGCTGGGGTAGGGTGATATCTCACTGTGGTTTTAATTTGCATATACCTGATGATTAGTGATGTTGAACCTCTTTTTATATGTTTATTGGCCATTTGTATATCTTTTTTTTTGTTTGTTTTTTGGTTTTGTTTTGAGACAGAGTCTCACACTGTCCCCAGGCTGGAGTGCAGTGGAGCGATCTTCGCTCACTGCAACCTCCACCTCCCGGGTTCCACCAGTTCTCCTGCCTCAGTCTCTTGGGATTACAAGCATGAGCCACCGTGCCCGGCCTTGTATATCTTCTTTTGAGAAATGTCTATTCATGTCCTTTGCCCACTTTCTAATGTGATTATTATTGTTTTCTTGGTGATTTGAGTAACTTGTAGATTCTGGATACTAGTCCTTTGTTGGATACTCAGTGTGCAGATATTTTCTTCCATTCTGTCGGTTATCTGTTTACTCTACTGATTATGAAATATCAAACTTTAAAGTCTTCAATTAAAATAGCATTTTGTAAGAAAATTCGAAAAGAAAACCAGGGCTAGTTATTTATTTAGGAAGCATATTATTACAAAATGTTATATAGTAAGCTTCCAGAGTTTTCTTTTTCCATTGTGATGAGACTTGAAAATTATTTTGCAAGACCAGATGCCATTAACATCAACCTTTTTGATTGAGTTGGGAATAAGGATCATGTAATCTTGTGTAAGTTCTCTGTTGGGAAAAAGTGTAGTCGTGATCCCCACATCTGTTCTGTGGTAAAATCCTGTGGAATATACCTTTTACATTCATCTGCACTTCATCTTCAGTGTGGCTGTCTTAATTTAGGATGTAATCATTTATCACCAGACTACAATAATATATTTTTAATAAGTATCTGTGCTGCTAATCTTGCCACTCTCAAATCCACCTTCAACACTGCCATGTAGAATTATCTCCCTAAAGCATAAATTAATTCCTATCATAATCCATACTTAAAGCTTTCAATAGCCATCCATCACCTAAAGGGTAAATTCTAAATTTCAGGGCTGCCCAATTAAGTCATCCCCAGGGAGAATTAAACTTCTCTCTGTTAGGCTACGCAGAATCTTTTGTGTGTCTCTAATACAGCATGTATTATACTGCATTGTCACTATCTTTTTAAATGTTCATCCTCTTAACCAGTCTGATAGCTCTTTGATGTGAAGATTGGCCTTGATCATTTTTGTCTCTTACTGCCCAGTATATATTAGGTACTCAGTACTTTCTGGATAAGTGCATGCATTCATTAAAGATGAATGATGGCTGGGTGCAGTGGCTCACGCCTGTAATCCCAGTACTTTGGGAGGCCGAGGTGGCCAGGTCTCCTGAGGTCAGGAGTTTGAGACCAGCCTGGCCAACATGGTGAAACCCCATCTCTACTAAAAATACAAACATTAGCCAGGTGTGGTGGCATGTGCCTATAGTCCCAGCTACTTGGGAGGCTGAGGCAGGAGAATCACTTGAACCTGGGAGGGAGAGGTTGCCGTGAGCCAAGATTATGCCATTGCACTCCAGCCTGGGCAACAGAGCAAGACCTCCATTTCGGGGGAAAAAAAAAAAAAAAAAAGGAATGATATAACTTGTACACAGTCATTGATATAAAATTTCTCCACCTAACCTAAGATTTAAGTCAGAAACATTACAGGCCACAACATGTTATAACACAATAAAAATAAAAAGCAATATAGTGAGAATACATTGCATTTTTCTTCATTTGACAAGCCCTCAACGACAGTTCAAAGCCACTTTAACTTTTTTTTTTTTCTTTGAGACAGGGTCTTGCTCTGTCACCCAGGCTAGAGTGCAGTGGCACAATCTCGGCTCACTGCAACCTCCGCCTCCCAGGTTTAAGCGATTCCCCTGCCTCACGAGTAGCTGGAATTATAAGCATGAGCCACCGCGCCTGGCCAAAACTTTAGCATTTCACTTAAAATGTGTGGGGTGGAATAAATTATTAACTATTAACTGTTTTTCACTTTTCATCACCCTGTGTAGCTAAAATGTCCTGTCTAGTTATCTAAGACAAATAGAAGCTCAGCAACTGATTCTTTAATCTCCCATGGCTGATTTTCCTCTCTTTGCCCTTAACAGGAGTTGACACAATTACAGAGTTGTCTTTGGTTTCTATCACAAAAATAATAAAAAATCAATATAAGGTTAATGAGGTGGTTGTGTCAAAAAGATTTTTGGGACTATTTTTTAATTATTCAATTTCGAGAGTTCTTTATCATGAATGCAAGTCCATTATCACATATATGACTTGCAAATATTTTTTCCTCTTCTGTTGCTTGTCTTTTCATTCTCTTAACATTATCATTCAAAGAACAGAACATTTTATTTTGATGAAGTCCCAATTTGTTGATATTTTCTTTTGTGGATTGGGATTTTGGTATCTTACCTATTAAATCTTTGCTTAACCTAAGGTCACAAAGTTTCTCCTATATTTTGTTTTAGGAGTTTTATACTTTTAGGTTTTAAATTTTTGTCTGGGATCCATTTTGAGTTAACATTTGTATATGGAGAGAGTGACCAAGATGGCCGACTAGAAGCAGCTAGCGTGCATGGCTCTCAAGGAGAGGAATGAAAGGGGTGAGTAAATACAACACCTTCAACTGAAACCTTTAGGTACTCACATTGGAGCTAATCAGTGAAACAACTTGACCCACAAAGAATGAAGAAAAGCAAGACAGGACAGTGATGCACCCAGGAGCAACGCAGAGCCAGGAGAACTTCCCTGCCTGGGTAAGCAGTGAGTGAATGTGCCACAGTGAAACACTATGCTTATCCCATGGATCTTTGCAACCCTTGGGTCAGGAGATAGCCTTGTGAACTCACTCCACTAAGGCCTTCAGTCTGACACAGAGAACCATGTGGAGTCTTGGCAGAGCAGCTGCTCAGGCATGTGTGGAAACCCTGGAACCTTAGATACTAGGGATTTCTGGCAAAAGTAGCTGCAGCTCCAGCAAAATAGGAGGGTAGACCCCCATACATACCCCTAGGAAAGAGGCTGAATCCAGAGGGCTGAGCAGTGACAGCTTGAAGGCTCTACTTCCATGGCACTTCATAAGGTAAGACCCACTGGCATGGAATTCCAGCCAGCCACTGGTAGTGGCATTGTACCTCCCTAAGAAGGAGCTTCCTAGGGGGGAAGGGTGGGCCACCATCTTTGCTGTTTGGGCACCTTAGCCATTCCACCCTTCAGGCTATGGAGAGTCCAAGCCAACCAGGGAGCATAAAGGATCCCTCAGCACAGCACAGTTGCTCTACCAAAGCATGTCCAGACTTCTTTAAGCAGGTGCCTGATTCCATTCTTCCTCACTGGGCAGGACCTCCCAACTGGGGCCTCTAGCCACCCCCACCATGTTCTGCAGCTGAC